AAACATAACATGTTTAAGATAGAACTTATTAGCTGGGCTTGGTGGCTCAGCCTGTAATCCCGCGCTTTGGGAGGCTGAGGTGAGTGGATTGCCTGAGCCCGAGGGTTCGAGACCCCCCTGGGCAACTTGGCAAGACCTCATCTCTACAATAAATCAAAGAATTAGCCGGGCTTGGTAGCGCACGCCTGTAGTTCCAGTTACTTGGAAGCCTGAGTGGAAGGATCGCCGGAGCCCAGCAGATCAAGGCTGCAGTGGCCAGGAGCGTGCCACTGCACTCCAGTCTGGGCGACAGAGTGAGACTCCAACTCAAAAAATAAAATAATAAGATAGAACTTATTGTTATCCTTGTTGCTCATCCCCAGAAACATTCCCTTCCAGATTTTTCCTTCATTGATACCACCATTCTCTCAGCCATTCAAACTATGTGCTTTAGAGCCATTTGCAATTGACCTTTTATTTCCCATATCAAACCAGTTGCCAAGTTCTATTTATTCTTTCTTTAGAGTTTTCTTACACCTTTATATTTTCATTGTCACTATTTTAGTTCTGACCCTCATAATTTCATTTTTAGACTCATACAACTCCTTTTAAACAAGTCTCCCACAGGCAGGTCTGTTCTAAACACACTAGCATTTTAATCTTAATGGAACTACACTTTGATCATATCACTTTCCTTCTTAAAAAGTTTCAGGCCGGGCTCTGTGGCTCAGCCTGTAATCCCAGTACTTTGGGAGGCCGAGGCGAGAGGATTGCCTGAGCCCGCAGGTTTGGAACCAGCCCAGGCAACTTGGCGAGACCTCATCTCTACAATAAATCAAAAATTAGCCGGGCTTGGTAGCATGCACCTGTGGTTCCAGCTACTTGGAAGGCTGAAGCAGAAGGATCGCTGGAGCCCAGCAGGTGGACAGTGGGGTGGCCGTGAGCGTGACACTGTACTCCAGCATGGGTGACAGAGTGAGACTCCTACTCAAAAAAAAAGTTTCAGGCCCAGCTCTCGCAACTCAAGATGGCAGACTAGAGTGAGACAGCAGTGAAGCCACCAGCACCTCTGCCACCGCAGATGATGGAAGGGAACGGCAAAGGCCATGAGCACTGCAGTGACTGCGAGAACGAAAAGGACAACAGCTACAACAGGAGTGTTCTGTATCCAGCCAATGACACTGGAGCCAAAAAGAAGAAAAAGAAACAAAGAAAGAAAAAGGCAGTGAGTGAGATAGATTCAACCCAGAACCTGCCTGTGAGGAGGAACTGGTTGCCAGAAGAGAGGATCCAGGAAATATAGAAGGCCGATGAGCTGTTCTTGGTGGGCCAGGGACCTGCCAAAACCATGGAGGAGGCCAGCAAGCAGAGCTACCAGTTCCGGGACACGCAGGCTGTCCCCAAGCTGGGCAAAGCAGTGAACACCCACAGGCGCGTGGAGCCTGACAAAGACAACAACCTCCAGGAGTCCCTACACCCTACCCTAGGGCTTCACTGGGATGCCTTGGGCTTAGGGGACCATAGCATGCTGAAAGAGCTGTACACACTCCTGAATGAGAACTACGTGGGAAACGACGACGTTTTCCAATTTGACTATTCCCTAGAGTTCCTTCTGTGGGCTCTCTGGGTGCCCAGCTGGCTGCCCCAATGGCACTGTGGTGTTCGAGTGGTCTTGAGTCAGAAACTGGTTGGGTTCATCAGTGCCATCCCAGCAAACTTCCACATCTATGACACACAGAAGAAGATGGTGGAGATCAACTTCCTGTGTGTTCATAAGAAGCTGCACTCCAAGAGGGTGGCCCTAGTCCTGATTCCGGATATCACCAGGTGGGTTCACCTGGAGGGCATCTTTCAAACTGTTTACACTGCGGGGGTGGTGCTACCCAAGCCTGTTGGCACCTGCAGGTACTGACATTGGTCCCTAAACCCTCGGAAGCTGACTGAAGTGAAGTTCTCCCACCTGAGCAGAAATATGACCATGCAACTTACCACAAAGCTCTACCCACTGCCAGAGGCCCCCAAGACAGCTGGACTGCGACCAATGGAGAAGAAGGACATTCCAGTGGTGCACCAGCTCCTCACCAGGTATTTGAAGCAGTTCCACCTCACACCAGTCATGAGCCAGGAGGAGGTGGAACACTGGTTCTACCCCCAGGAGAACATCATTCACACGTTTGTGCTGGAGAACGCTGGTGGAGAGGTTACGGACTTCCTGAGCTTTTACATGCTGCGGTCCACTATCATGAACCACCTGATCCACAAGAGTCTCAAAGCTGCTTACTCCCTCTACAACGTGCAGACCCAAACTCCACTTCCAGACCTCATGAGCGATGCTCTCATTCTCGCCAAAATGAAAGTTTGAAGTGTTCAACATGCTGGACCTCATGGAGAACAAGACTTTTCTGGAGAAGCTCAAGTTCAGCAACCTACAGTATTATCTTTCTAATTGGAAGTGCCCCAGCATGGAGGCAGAGAAGGTTGGGCTGGTGCTGCAGTAGCCAGTTGCCAGTGAGATTCTGGAGAAAACAACTGAGAACTCAATCAGGAAATGGAGCCCCACAAACGTGATATGCCTGGCAAAGGGGGCAGAACTGAACCAACTTTACCAAACTGCCAACGAACTTGACAATTGTTTGACCCTGGCGTGGGCTGCATGATGTCACCTGTGGTCATGTCTCTGGTCTCCCTGTTTTCCAGTTAATCACATCCTCATGCAGCCATGATCATGGGAAAGTAACTGCTGAAAACTAGCTCGTGATTGGCATATTATGGAGTTAACGGGTGAATAATAAAAGTATATAGATATATATTTCAGTGCCTTCCCATTACCAGCAGGATAAATTCTAAAATCTATGGCTTGTAATGCAAAACTGTTAACACTCCAGCTCACAAAATGTTAGTAAACATTCCACACGCCCCGAAATACACAAAGTTACATGGTTTCTCTACTGGAAAACTTCCTTAAACTTTTGGTGAACTAACGTGCAGCATAATGCACCAAAGGGTGATAAACAGAATGTAGCACTTCCAAAATGTATTTGACTAAAGAACTCTATTTTCACAGACCATCTGTTAACATTTCTCATGACACTAATGTTCTGATGAAGCACATTGAGGAAAGGATTAGGAAGCCCCATCCTACATTTCCAGTCTTTTTTCCCACTAGCTCCCCTACATAAATCAGCTGCTTAGGTCAAACAACTCTTAGTCTCCCTGAGACATACTCACTGTCAAGTACAATCCAAGTCTTTATTTATTCTGTTCTGCCCATATGGAATGCCCTTCTCTTTCTCTGAATACTTATGTTTTTATTTTTATTGAGATTTCAACTCACCATAAAACTCACCATTTTAAGTCTACAATTCAGTGGTTTTTAGTGTAGTCACAAAATTGTGCAATAATAAGTATCATCTAGTTCTAGAACATTTTCATCATCCCCCCAAAAAACCCTATATCCATTAGCAGTCACTCCCCATTCCTCCCCGTCTCAGCCCCTGGCAATCATTAATCAACTTTTTGTCTCTATGGATTTGCCTATTCTGGACATGTCATATAATCTCTGTTTATCTAGATCCTGCTTATCCACTCCAAGACCATGTTTGCTTGTTCAGTCACTTATTCATTCAGTTAAAATCACAACACTCATACTCTGTATCAGACACTGTGCCAGGATGTGAATATACAAAGGTGAATGACATGTTGCCTTCAAGGAGCTTTGCCTAATGGAGAAGACAGACAGCACAGTGTTAGAAGTGCTATTATGGTGCTATGAACAAAATGTCAAAGGGACAAAGAGGTTTGAGCAATAAATAGTGAGAATCAAGGAAATTCTCACTGAGGAGTTAGCATTTGACTGGATATTGGTTTGTTTGTTCATTCTTTGGTTAATATGTTCATTCAGCAAACATCTGTTATGCCTCTGTTATGTGCCAGGCACGGTGCTGGACTTTGAGAATACAAAAGTAAGCAAGAAAAAAAAAATCCCTGTACCTCGAGGAACTCAGTGGTCTGAAGGAGATAAATAATAACATTCCAAAACAATGTGATATAAGTTATATTAGAGGAATGTAAAGCTTGCCATGAGAACAGAAAGAAATAACTAACTCTGCTTGTGAATTTGAAGAAAAAGTAGAAGTCTACCAAGTGGACAAGGATGGGGTAGTATTTTAGGCAAAGGATATTAGACCACCCCTGGCTGTGCTATCCTAGTGCTCATTTCTTTTACTGAACTAGAGCACCCAATGTTTTACTAGCCCTTAACCACATACCTTGTGAAGTCATCTTTATTATGTGGATGCCTTGTGTTCTCAAAATCATTGTTCATCCTTTGGGGTAAAAGTTTTGTCTTATTCTTCTTAGCGCCCTTATTTTCATAGTGTTCTGTAGGTAGTAATTTTTCTATGGATCCAAATGAATGAAAGAGTGACAGCTGAGACAACAACCTTGACACTCTCTAGAAGCTGTTGCCTAGGTCTCCTATCACATTTCCCCCTTCAAGGGCCTGACACCTATTGTGTAGATGAAGGACTTTAACATGAACGCTCTTTTTGTGCTCCGTCTCCTATACAAGGACTGAAAAAGGAGCTCCTTACACCAACCCTTTTCACTAATGTGAAGCGTTGTGAAGAAGCTAATATAATCATGTGATTAATTATGTTAAAGACCATTGATAAGGCTAAGGAGCCATCTTAGAAATGTGCCCTTTATTCATAGCTAGGTAGATATTATTAATGCTAAAGATTAACATAATGTCTATTAACCTGCTTCTAATTCTTTCCTTCAGTTGAAGAGGACCTCATTACTTTTCAGTTTATATGTCTCTTCATGAGATCTTGTAATGGAACATTCTCCAGCTGACAAATCTTCAAGTTTTCTCCTCCTGCTCTCCAGGAGCATAGGCCTTCCTTTGCTGAGCACCCGTTGTTTGTTTAATAATAATGGGGCACAGCATGGATACAGGTAGTGCTACAGTGAGCTGTGAGGGTAATAACTGCAAAACACCCACTGTTCTTGGATTTTAGGAAGGCTACCCAGAAATGGAGATTCTCTGGCTGATGATCAAGTCCTGGAATACTGGAATACTTATGTATAGCAGGAGCAAATATGTATCGGCTGAAAAATGGTGTGGCCTGGCATTGCGTTTCCTTGACCACCTTAGCTCCCTCAAGAGAATCTATGAAACTCGGGTAAGGAGGGAGAAGGTCAGGGTGGATGGCATGACTGAGGAGGCAGCGAGGTTACAGCTAGGCTCTCCATACAGATTCGATCCAACCCTTGACTAGAAAAGGATCTTAATTATTGTCCTTCTCAGTGGTTCCATATAACTTCAAGAGTTAGAGGACCATAAACAATAATTTCTTAGAGTGAAAACCAAGAAGGACGAAGAACAGGGAGAAACTTAGGAATAGCCGATAGAATCTAATTAAGAGGAATGCCAAGAGTGAGCTCTGAAAAGATGTGTTACTGTCAATGCCAGTGCATGTGGGGAAGGACTGGCCTCTGCTCAAAGCAATAACTGCTTTAAAAGGCATTTTCTCCAGGAACCATTCTCAGTTGTAGACGTCTGGGCCATTAGCTCGCTGGGAGAGGTTTGGTGGAGAAAAAGCCTTGTTACCAAGCAAGAGCAAAGGCTCTTTTATGTTTTAAGTACCTTCTCCTTTATAATAGGGGATCCCTCTTCCTCAAGAGAAGACTCAAATCTGAGATCCCTCAGATCTCAGAAAGTAAAGGTTAGATTTTCATGCCATCACCATGGGTCTAGGAAGCTTTCCTACATTTCCTTTTCCTCTCAAGAAATCTGTTTGCTATTCTCCTTCCCAGATGAATGTTCTGCATAGTGAACTCATGGAAGCAGCAGATAAAAACAAGGGCTCACGTTTTAATGAAGAGTGAGAACTGCTGGAGCAAGGCAGATGAGCAGGCAAGCTTACAGTAATTTGAAGAAGGTGTAATGTTCACAGATGCTGACTATTCAGATTTTTGCTAGTCTCTCCTGAGCTTTCGTTTCTGTTTTCTCAGGTCCTGTTTTCATATTGTTGAATAAAGTTTTCTAAAATAAAAGCATGTTGACATTTTATCTCAGTGATCAGCTCATTTATGGGGGACAAATGAATTTGCCAAAGTGCTAAGGATTAAATTGAAATAGCTCTTGTGAGAGCAAGATGGTTTATGTCCCCTGTGAACAAAAGGGAATGTCCAACACAGGTTGCATTTTATTCCCAAAGTGTCCAAAGTACCAATACCTGGAAATAACAAAGAATCATAGACTTTTCATTGGAAGGACCATAGTGGTCATTGGGCCCAGCATTTATCTTACTCATGAAATCTCTCTCTGACATCCTTGAGAATTGGTTGCCAGTCTTCGTTAGAACATATCCTATAACAGGGAACTCCTAAGACAGCCCAGTCCACCTCCTTGTGCCCTCTAATTGGTAAAATTCCCTTCTTCATATTGAACAGAAATTTATCTCCCTATAACAAGTCTGCTTTCTCTGCCTCAGATGCCCTTTGGAGAATTGAAGACAGAAGTCAGGCCCCTCCTTGTCCTCCAGGCTTTTTCTCCTTTAGGTTAAACATCCTCAGACCCCTTAGTTTTTTCTCATGTGATCTGGTCACCTCACCTTCTAAGAACCTGTGAGGTCTGACCCATGCAGAGTTGAACAGCCTCATTCTGGCTAGACTGGCATTAATACCATATGATCACACTGTCTTTTTCCCTCAGTTGATTCGTGTTAGCATTTTTTTAAACTGTTAATTTAGAATTATTTTCATTCATAAGAAAAGTTGCAAGAAAGCAGAAAAGATTGCCATCTCCCCTTCACCCTGCTTCCCTACTTGCTATTTTACTACATTGTCTAATTATTTCCCTGTTTCTTTCTGAATCAAATTTGCAGACATCCTGCCCCCTTTACCCTTAATACCTCAGTGTGTATTTCACAAAAACAAGGCTACTCTCCTATATAATCACAATACAGTCATCAAAATTAGGAAATTAACAATGATACATTCTACCATCTGGTCCACAGACCCCATTCAGATTTCACTGATTGTCCTAGTGAAGTCCTTCATACATCCGGATCATAAATTCCATTTAGTTGTCATGTCTCCTTCATCTCTTGCAAACTGAAATAGTTCCTCATTCTTTCCTTATCTTTTATGACCTTAACATTTTTTGAAGAGTACAGGCTCATTACTTTGTAGCATGAACTTCAGTTTAGATGGAGCTGATGTTCCCTAATAATTGGATTCAGTTTCTGCCTTTTGGGCAAGCATATTACTAAAGTGCTGTGTTCTTCTCAATGCATCATAACTTCAAGCACACAATGTCAATGTGCCCTATTATAGGTTAAGGTTAAGATGGTGTCTGTCAGATTTCGCCAATGTAAGTTTCATCAATAAACTTTTTGTACTTAGTAATTAATAATTATTTATGAAGTACTTGGTGGAAGATACTTTGAAACTAAGTAAATGCCTGTTTCTCATTAAACTTTCACCACTAGTATTTTGCATCTGTTGGTGATTCTTGCCTGAATCCATATTTACTGTGATGGTTGATAAATGTTGATTTCTCTATTTTCATCATTCCTTCTTCATTTATTAGGTTTTTCTTCTCCTTGACTTGTTTATTTATTCATACTTCTAAATACATTATAGTACAGACTAACGGATTCCTATTTTATTAAATGGGCATAAGCCACCATCACCATTATTTATTTTGCTGCCCAAAACTAGCTCCTACACCCTTTTGACATGTCTCCACCATTCTCTGAGCACTTCCTTACTTTGTGGCACAATAAGATGCTCCAGGCTCATATACTTTCCTTGCCCCAGACCTGGCATCAGTCATTTCTCCAAGGACCCCTGGCTCCTTTTAATGGAGAATGGTAGTTGGTGCTCAAGATCTGGGTCCTAGAGGTGTATTCATTGTTACTGGGGTGCCATTGTTTCTAGGTCCTCTCAGTTAACAGAGCTAGGAAATAAATGTATGTATGTGTATATACATACACATAAGTTCATACTGATGACTCCCATTTCCAATCCAACACCACTGCGTCTGTTCTAGTCATCCTCCCGGCTCTGATTAACCTCAAATATGCACTTATTTGCTCATTCTCTCTATCTGATCCCAATTTCCTAGCCATGGGGGCTGTCACCTCAGCCGTAACCCCACCATCCTGTCCACAGGAGCTGTCCCTTTGGCTGAGGCTCAGTGAACACTCTGGCCAAGTCATCAGCCCAGACCCCATCCCCGAGAACAGCAAGATGACCCCCAAGCTGAGCTGCCACCCCAGCCCTGACCCTGACCTCAGCCCTTGCCAAAGAGAAAAGAAAGGGACCACATTAGCATGTAAGCAGGCGCTTCATATTGTTGGCTCATTCGGCTTCTTAGTTATTCCTTTCTGCCTTCACCTTACTTTACTCCTCCTTATCTTTGAGAAGGCATTTCATGTGTCACTTCCTCAAGAAAAACCTTCCCTGACTAGATCAGGCTCCCTTGTTATATGCTTTCCTAGCACTCCATTTTTTTCTCACAGTTTTAAAATACACATATGTTTATGGAATACATTTATTAATGTCTGCTCCCCCCAATAGTCTTTAAGCTCTACAAGGGCAGATGGTGTGTTTTCCTTACCATTGTATATTCCCAGGGTCTAGCAGTGCTTGGTACTTTCAATAAATACTTGTTGAATGAATGAAAACTTCTAAGTCTTTTTTTCCCGTACATACTGCCATTCACTCATGTCCCTGCTTATACTTACAGTTTTAAAAAATCTAATTGAATTTACTGCTATTAAAATTGTTCTTGCCAGCAGATCTTTTTGGATACAGAGTCTATTCTTAATATGTTAGTTATCCCTCTCAAGTTCACCTTATCTGCATATTCAGTCAGCATGCCAGCTAATGTCTTTAACCAAGTAAATGACAATACATACTGAATGGGAGAGAGCTGAGACAGCTTGGTGACATGCTTTGCAATCTCATCTCTGGGTTCTTTCATTCACGCAACAAATATTTCATGAACACTTTCTGCTATGGACCAGACACTGCATTAAGTACTAGGGATAAAATCGTCAAAAAAATAAGAGGACAAAGCCTCGCCTTCAAAGAGCTTACATTCTAGTGGGGGTAACTAACATATAATAATAAGCTAGAATATAAATAACTTAAACATTGATTCATTAATTAACAGATTTGGGGATGATCATTTTCCCACTCAATAATTACCTGCATTTTTCCCACCTTTTCACAGGGGATCACATGAGTGAATTTGTCATTGCCTTGCTGGAGCCATTGACATTGATATACTAAAGCTCATTTCAGAAAAGAAAATGAGCTTGGCCAGGCTCAGTGGCTCAGCCTCTAATTCCAGTGCTTTGGGAGGCCGAGGTGAGTGGATTGTCTGAGCCCGTGGGTTCGAGACCCACCTGGGCAACTTGGCGGAACCTCATCTCTACAATAAATAAAAAGTTAGCCGGGCGAGCGTGGTAGCGCGCGCCTGTGGTTCTGGCTACTTGGAAGGCTGAGGTGGAAGGATCCCTGGAGCCCAGCAGGGCGAGGGTGCAGCGACCGGGAGGGTGCCACTGCACTCCAGTCGGGGTCGCAGAGTGAAACTCCAATTCAAAAAAAGAAAAAAGAAAATGAGCTTAGTCCGTTCTGTAAAGGGTCTTAGAAACTCTTTGTGATCACTAGCTCCTTCTAAGGACTCTCATGCAAACCATCCCTTCCTATAATGTGTTCTTATAGGATGCCTGGGATGAAGATGAAATCTACCTGTCTAAAGCTTGTGAAATCTACCTTCTTCCCTTAAAAAAAAAAAGAAGCATATATCTTTCTCTAGGCTTCCAACAAGTCTCATTCCCCAGGATTTCTCAAAGCTAGAAACACCAGTTTAGTGATCTCAGCTATAGGTTCTCTCAGCATCCTGACATATTTGTTTAGGCCTAGTGACTTAAAATCATTTAAAGACGTTGGTGCCTTCTCTCAATTTTCTTACTTACCATGACCCTCAGTTTCCTCTTGCCCATGTCTATTTGACCCTTTCCAGTTTAATGGACAGAGTTTGGAAGGCAGAGAAGACCAAAGCAAAGTAGGAATTAAACGTTCATATTATCTTTGTTGTCTGGTAAGCATTATATCACTTTATTTTTCCCTTTATACCCTGTAGTATTATTGGAACTTTTTTGCATGCACTTATATTACTTTCGTAATTTAAGAAAAGCCCTAATTATAATTAAAACAAAACGTACTGTCTACCCTAATATGTGGACTTTAAGGCTTCCTTGATGCAAACTAAACTGTAAGCAGCCTTTATTTTTTGTTCCTAGAATTGCCTCATTGGGGTCAGGCCTTCCTGACATGATTGTGGCAGTTTCATGTTACTATTTTTTATTCATCCTTGATCAGACACTCTGCTTTCTACCTTTGCAATGCCTCATCATCAAAGAACTCTCTGTGCATTTGCGTCATTTTCTTTAGCTGCTTCTCCTTTTACTTCTTTCTTAAAATCATTCACGATTACTAGGTTAGAATTTAGTTTTGAATTTAGTTTTGAATGTCTTTCAACCCTTTGTGAAGGCAGTCAAGTAGAAAGTGCAAGAAAACTAACAATGCATTACCTACCAAGTGCTAAAAGCACTTACACATGTGCTATCTTACTTAACTGTCATAATGACCCTGTGAAGTAGGAGATTCTGTTTCATTCCTTCCTTCTTTCGCTCTCTCTACCTCCCTCCTTAGTCATTCCTGTGGGACACTGAAGCTCAGATACTTTAAGTAATTTAGCCAAGGTAACAGAGCTGGTAAATGGCATAGCCATGATTTAAAGACACATCTAGGTCAGGCACAGTGGCTCACACCTGTAATCCCAGCACTTTGAAAGGCTGAGATGAGAG